GACGGTGCCCTTTTTGCCAAAGACGCGCGAGAGGAGCTGCCACATGCTCTTGCCTGTGACGTCGGGGTTCTGCTCCGAGCCGGAGAGCGCAAACTCACGCGCGATGATGCTCTGGTCGAGGATGAACCACGAGTAGTCGTACCCCGTGCTGCAGATGTGCTTCAGCGTGCCGAGGGTGTCGGTGCCGGGGAAGAGGAAGGGCGGGAGACGCTTGCCCGTCGCGTCGAGCCATAGCGAGCTCGGTGCCGGGAGGACGCGGATGCCGTGGTTAGGCCAGATCGGGTTCCAGTTTTGGAGGCCTTCGGTGTAGTGCCACATGCGGTCGCGATTGATGACGTTTGCGCCTACGGTTTCCGCGATGCCGATCATGCGGCCGTCGACGTGGGCTGGAACGCCGACGACGAAGTTTTCGGGGACTTTGGAGCCGAGACGGTCAATGGGCCATGCTGCTTTAACGGCTTCGACGTTTCCGCCGATGCCGCCGGATGTTACTGCCACGGCGGATCCCAAGATTTCGAAATCACCTGCAATGTCGCGGTTGGACTTGACGCCGCGCTCAGAGTTGTCGGGAGCGAGGACCTTTCCGCGAACGCCGATGGCGCGACCCGTCTCGTCGGTGATGATCTCGTCAACGCGGTGTCGGAATCGAAACTGTATAACCCCATTCTTGGCCGCGCGCCTCACGGGCTCCTCAAAGACCCTCACGACCTCCGGTCCCGTACCCCAGGTAACATGGAACCGCGGCACCGAGTTACCGTGTCCCTCCGCCATACCCGCTCCCCTCTCGGCCCAGCCGACGTTGAAGAGGAAGCCCATGCCCCTGGCTTTCACGTACTGCTCCATCTCGTCCGAAGCAAAGTTGACAAAGGCCTCGGCCCATCTCCTCGGCCAGGTATCCTCCTTCTCGCGGTCAAACTGCGCGGAGCCAAACCAGTCCCGCATCGCGAGCTCCCTCGAATCCTTGATACCCATCCTTCTCTGCTCCACCGAGTCGACGCAAAAGATGCCACCGAGCGACCAGAATGCTTGACCGCCTAGATTCGCCTCGTTTTCCTGGTCGATGATGATTGCCGGCACGCCGCGCTCCGAGAGCTCAAAGGCGGCGACGAGGCCGGCTAACCCGCCGCCGACGATGATGGCGGGCCGCTCGAGGAGCGCCTTCTTCTTGTCTGTGCTCATTGCGGCGAAGGTCGGACCTGCTGTGGAAGGGGAGCCGTGGGAGGGTTTCGCGGGGCTGCGGAGGAGGATATGGCGGACGATGAGCTTGAGGAGCCAGGCGGAGGCGCCTAGGGTTGCGAGGGTGGCGAGGGTCTGGGTTGGTGTTTGGGGGAGGGGGAGGGGGAAGATGTCGCGCACGTTTTGCAGTTGCGGCGCCATGGCCCTTTGGGTTGAGTGTTGCCGGAGAGGAAGAGGGCTGTCGGTCAGCTTTATGAATGAATGAATAGACTGAGGTGGGTGAGATGGAGGTCCGAGGTGGTTGGTCGGGGATGTTAAGGTAGTATCTTGGCGGGCTGGGGCGGACGAATTACCTGATTCTCGGGTCACTGAAGACTGAAAAGAGGTGTCCCGGCCGATTGGAGCTGTCTTTACTGAGCTCGCAGAGCACGTAGATTGGCTTATGGTGTTATGACCTGCTTGAAAGAGGCACGAACGTGATTGTTTGTGGTGGGATGACTGCTCGGGCTGTGGTGAGGGGACGACGGGTTCTATCTGCTTTTGGAGCTTGGGTGCTCTCACTGTTCTGGTCCGACGGTGTGAATTGAGGCGCAGGGGGGGGCAAAGTCCGCGGAAGGCCGATCTGCGACGCCGTCTGTTCCGGCGCGCGGGAGTTCAGGGAATGGTGCTTGAGGATCGGAAAGATTATTTGATTGCGGCTATGTGAGAGATGGAGATGTTTTGTGATGCGGAGCACGGGGTGGGAAGATGAGTGGTATGTTTATGAGTGATGTGTTGAGTGAGTGGGCAAGTGAGTGTGAGAGGGAGGTGAAGCATGAGATGAGATTCACAGTGAAGCCAGCAAAGCTCACTAAGCTGACGAGAGGCAGCGCTGACATGTGAGGTGAGCTGCAGCATCATCGCATCCGGCGACACGCAGCTGCAACGGGCGGGTTGCAGGGGATTTTGACAGCCCCGAGTCAGCTAAACAGCTCAGGGTCCCTGACTTCCCCATGCTCCAATTCCTTGCTCCATGCTTCATTTGCTTTCTCCGGTGCGGGGTATCGTTGTCCGAGTCCATCGGCTTGCAGGACATGCCTCGGTTCACTGAGCTTGTCACCCCATATTCTCGTCACACTATGCCACTCTCGTCAGTCTTTTCTCATCTTTCATGAGTTCATCTCAATAGTATAGTAGTATTCGGCTCTAGCTTCACTGCGACTCATTCCTGGACCTTGACGACAACCTTGCCAAAGTGTCCTCCACTGTAGAGGTATCTATACGCCTCATCCGCTTCCTTGAACTCAAACACCCGGTCAACAACGGGCTTGATCCCCTTGTCCTCGTAAAAGTCAATCATTTCCTCGAACCGCTCCCTCGGACCGTTGATAAGACCCTTGAGCGTCACCGTCTTCTTCAGCGCGAGCAAGTTGACGTTCGTCCGGTCCTCCACGTCGTCGACTTTACCAGAGAGATACCCGATGCATGCAATCTGCCCGCCGAAGCCAATCGCCTCAAAGGACTGTCGCAGCGTCTTGGCCCCGCCCGTCTCGAGGATGAGGTTGGCGCCTTCGCCGTTGGTGAACTCGTTGACTTTGTCGTCCCAGTTGGGCGTCGTGCGATAGTTGACGGTGTAATCCGCCCCGAGAGCCTTTGCTTTTTCCAATTTTTCGTCCGAGGAGGATGTGATGATGACTGACACGATGGGTGTTAGCTCAGTTAGCTAGGCACCCGTGTGTGTGTGTGTGTGCGTGTGTGTGCGTGTGTGTGTGTGTGTGTGAACATCACTTACCAGTGGCTCCTGAAGCCTTCGCGATTTGCAATCCCGAGATAGCCACACCACCAGTTCCTTGACAAACCACAACCTCACCCTCTCCACCAGGCTGGCCCAAAGGTCGGAACTGGTTAATCGACATCCAAGCTGTCACGCCAGCAATGGGAAGAGTCGCGGCCTCCTCGTCACTCAAGTGCTTGGGCGCCCTGACCAATCCCTCAGCAGAGAAAACGCGGTACGTCTGCAAGACACCTTCCAACGGGAATCCAAGACCACTCTTCATATCCACCGGCTTGATCTGACCCTTGATATGCGTCTGACTGAAAATCGACACGACGCGATCGCCAACCTTCCACCTGGTGACGCCGTCGCCTACAGCCTCGACAGATCCGCACATGTCCGAAGCCGGGACGATGGGCTCCGTCTCGGCCGGGTTGATTGTCTTGTGGTGGTTGTAGAGGCCCATGGCCACCTCCGTGTCTCGGTAGTTGAGAGACACGGCGCTGATCTTGACAAGCACCTCGCCGGGCCCGGGCTGCGGCAGGGACGCCGTGGCGAGGAAGAGCTTGTCGAGCCCGTCTTGGCGGGTCTGCCAGCGCTGGACTTGAGTGTTGGTGCTCATGTTTGTGTGTTGTCTTTTTGTCTCTCTGTCTGCGGGATGTCACTGCGACGTCTCACGCTTGATTTGATTCTTGCCTTTTGCTTCTGAGATCTTGACTCGGGCGAAATTCCGCTCTGGGAGATTTGAAGAATGACGCATGTATTAGAAATCATCTTCAGATGATCCCCGCAACGGTGGAGCGCGGCGGGGCGATAACTTCGGCATGGCAGCCAGGTCCCGCCGCCTTCAAGCCCCGGATCGGCCTGGGAGTCGCCGGGCCGATAATCACTTACTCCGGGTCTTCAAAGTAGCCGACTTGAATACAATATCGCGGAGAACAGGTCACTAGCACCTGTTGCAGAAGTAATTTTAAATGTTATACGCCTAAATGCGCCGAGACAGTCTCTCCTATATTCCAAACCCCGGGATCCAGAATGCTCTTGGAACTTGCGGGTTTGAGTTCATCGAATCACACAGTTTCTAGTGAGCCGCTTTTCCATCATTACTAATTAAGGACTGCCTTCTGTAGCGGGCCTGCTGCAATTGATGCGATTATCCAAACAAATCCTGCCAAATCTACTTCACAAGCTCTGCGAGTTCAAGGGCTCAACGACGACATGTAAAATATTTAGACAACCACTAAAATAATGATTTCAAACTAACCAGTAGCATCACCACCAGCTGCATCCTGTCACATGGTATCAAATTCTTGGAGTCATACCATAGCAATTGGAACAAAGTCATGAGAGGTCGTCGTTACATGGCCATGGCAATGGCCAGATCACTTTCGTGGGCTCAGTGCATCAATATCGTGTCCAGCTGGTAAGCTTGAAAACTATCGAACGCTAGAAAATCCTCAGATAACGTTTGGCGTAACAATTCTACTCGGAATATTTCGCCAGGGTCCCGCCATCGGTTTGTTCAGTGTCAAAGCTATCTTAATTCTATTGTACCTTTGTGTGTGTGTGTGTGTTATATTTAACGCCGTGGTGGCAAGGGCGCAGCCGCCCTTGCGGCCGACCTCCCGAAGGGTATATGGCGTGGAGAGCCGTCGCCCTATAACTATTGCTAGATACAGTTCAAATCGTCCTCCAAATCGTGCCTTATGGCTACTATGCGTTCTATCTGTCCCTGGTTCCCGCTGGTGCCCCAGTTCCATTCTTGAATTTTGCGGCTTAAGGCCGGATATGTCTGGAGAGGGCGGCCTGCCGAAACAGGCCCCTCGTACATGTTCTGATTTGTACAAGACCATTCCTGCCCCAGTACTTGGTTGACGACGTGTACTCGTTCTTGGTCGGAGGGTGTGGATATGAGGAAACCCTGGCGAGGGCCCGGAAAGGGTCCTAGGCCCCGCGTTGGGCTCTGCCCTACCCTTCCCACAGGTAGTTAAAGCAGTTGCCGGCGGCTGGAATCGAACCAGCGACCTCTGGGCTCCAGAGGCCTTGCCAGGTGTATGCCACTACACCACGCCGGCTATTGTACCTTTCTCAAGTGCGTTCAAACTGCAGTGATTGTAGATAGGCTTAGAAGTGTGATAGGCTTTCGCCTCTATTCATGTGTTGGCATGACACATCTGACATGAGCTAGTCTTCTGGAAAGTCGGAGCAGACCACGCATCCCATCTTTCCCTTCAGCTTATCATCGAAATTGCCCCCAGGAAGAGCTCCTGAATTCGTGATTACCTGGTGGAAGGTCGTCGAAGTCATCAGGATGTCAAGGTCACACTTCATCGCACCAGAACTACTCGAAACGCATTCTCAAGTCAGCTTTCAGGTTTATTATTTATCCTTTGAGGGTCTCAAGACAACGTACGCGTAGAAATTACAACGATCCGACTTTCTGAACCATGTCGACATCGTCACCTGCCGCTGTTTTGCTTCTTCAAAGCTCTGAGCTTGATTTTTGTAGTAGCACCAAAGGCTGCATTCTCCGGTGTGGTTTGGACCTAGACAGAGCACCAGGTCACATAGGCGGTGCACAGCTTCCTGTTCGGAAGCTTGGGGGCCACCTAGACTGGCCTTGTACTTGAGGTACTTGTCCCAGTCGTCTTTCTTGACGAGGGCGTCTTTTGGGTCGGTGGGTGTTGCGTCGCTGGATGGAGCTGGAGATGCTATTGCAGCCGCTGCGAGACCAAGAGTCAAGAGGTGGTGAATAGCCATTAGGGTATGGAAAACTTAATTCGAGGATTGTAGGCTTGGTGAGTTGAGATAATGAGTTTGGAGCAGAAAGCTGGACGAGCGGCAGGGCTTTCTGAATTTGTACTTTCAAGTAGCATCGTGCCGTAGCTGACATCACGAACAGCGTTTCTTGATGGCCATTCCACATGACAGCCAAGATCGCGGTCTGGTTTAGGACAAACGAAAGGTTTGCCAGTACAATACGCAAGGAATGATGCCAAAGTGGAGAATCGATTGGGCACTGCTGTGCAACATGGGAGACTTGCCGCATAAGCCATTGAAGTTTGCCAGCATCATGGGGCTCATTGGACGAGCTACCTCCTTAGAGGCTTGAACATCTTGATGGATTAAAACACACTTGTCGAAAGTCTTGTATCGCAGCGCCACGTGTGGCGCTGCCGGTTACTGCCGTACGATACCGCTTTCCACAAGCCGATTATCCGTCTTGTACGGTATATAGATATGACCCTCATACGGATCTTCCACTTAGAGGAATCAAGCCACTTTCTACTATACATGTCTTCCACTTGCTACCTCGCTTTGTGATATCTTGTTAGTCTCTTGCTTCTTTCCAGTAACTCTGATCATCTGTCCAGAATCTGTATCCTCGTGAATGAGGGCTCTAAACCATGTCCAAGAGATGGCGAACAGCCGCATTCAGCTGATCGGACGCATGGGGGTCCCAGCGCGGAAGAGCAACAGATCAGCAAACACCACAGCAGATTGAGACCCATTCATCAGTCATTACCTACGGCAGACTGCAAGAGGCACTCCGCCAAAACACTTTTTTCATGCGTCAAAGCAGAAATCGAATTTTACAGTCACCCCACCACCGATTATTAAACTTTACACTAGGGAGATAAACCAAAGATATGGTTTACGTAGAATTACGGCTTAAGACATATTATCGATTGAACTTATAGGACTCCGTATAGCGGTATCCCATCGAGTGCTGTTGGGCTACAGATACATTGCTCCACTCTTTTACCCACTCTTAACCCCTCACATCAGGAATACATGACAGTACGTCATTTACCCCTAGGAATCCCTGGCTTCCCTTCACCACCAAAATCGCCTATCTACACATGCCAATTCGTCACGATGGCCTCGAGCGACGATAGTGACTCTGAAGGGTCTGTACATTCCTGTATCAACGTTGCGATACTTCCTGAAGACCTCGCAAGCGCCTGTACAGCTGACTGTGCGCCCGAGAAGTGTGATAGCGCGACTGTACGCCCACATGAACCACCTTCGCTGGAACGAGGCATACCAGGCCACTTCAGTCCCCTTGAAGTGCCCTATCGTAAGGCGACGGTACGAGACCTCCCCGATACTCCATTGAAGCTATTCCAGCGGTACGTACCACAAGGAATAGTAGAATCGTGGGTACAATGGACGAATGAAGCAGCACAACAAGGTCCTGTTCAGCAATACTCTCGAAGCCGCTTATGGAGACCGACTTCTGTAGAGGAAGTCTGTTTGTACTTGGGGATCCTCATTTATATGGGAATCCATACCGAAAATAAGGTATCCGAGTACTGGTCAACATCTCAAAAGAACGAAGATCCTATCCATTTATTTACCCGATTTATTTCTCGAGACCGGTTCTAACTATTATCCCGCCGCTTACGTATCTTCAATACTGCTGAATTACTATGCCTGACCCCCCTCTTACGAAGAAACGATACCGCAGTGAAGCCCAGCCTCGTGAGGACCTTATGCCTAAGGTCTATAGGCAGGTGAACCAGTGGTCTAGTCATATATAGGAAGTTAGTAATAGCTTCTATCTACCTGGTAGTAACCTCACCGTTGACGAGGCAATGGTACGATTTACAGGTCGTTCTATTGAGAAGACAACAGTACCCAGTAAGCCTACGCCAGTTGGCTACAAAGTATGGGTTTTAGCGCAGTCTGGATACTTCCTACGATGGTTGTGGCACGTCCACGGGAAGGGGCCGTATGGTCTTGTACCACAACAGCGGCCACAGCTTCAAAGGGAAAAGGGGGTCGACGACAGCCTCACGCCCACTCAACGAGTAGTTACTACGTTACTGACCCTACTACCCCTTGCTGAATACCACGTTTTCCTCGATAACCTATTTGCCTCTATAAAGCTCTTTCGTACTTTACGATTAAAGGCAATAGGGGCAACTGGAACCTGCCGAAGAGATAGGGGAATTGATCAGTTACTTATTAATAAAAAGCAAGATGAAGGGAAGGGTATTCCCTGGGGTTAGATCCACTATATCCCTACAAAAGACGGTCAGTGTTACGAGCTGGACAAGGCAACCAACTGTGGCACAAAGCAAAAGCTTCGATAATGATGACTCCGGCATCATTGTCCCTTGTTCTGCATTATATAGCTACGCGCCCACAGTGACAAGTTGCGGCGGGCGTAACAGTCAGGTACGTAAGGCACATATATTTTTATAATATTTCTACACTAAAGGTTTATTCCCTACATTTCTAGGTCAATCAGCTAAGCTAGAAAGATAATACCTTAGTACTTTTCCTCACAACTATTTATCACGACACTAAGTGTTACAACCCAACATGCATAACAAGGCCAGGGGGCCCGCCCCACAGGCCTGCGGCGGCTATCTACCTGATATACGCAGAGAATCCGGGAACTCAGGTGACTCCTCATGGAACGGAAGAACTATGGAACAAGTCACGTGACGATAAGGAAAGTGAGCACACGATAAGGTGATCACAGTGATCACCCAAAGTGAGCGCTCACCAGTATCCACTTAGTGATCACCAACGAACATGGTGACCAGGCAACAAAGGATATGTTCAGGATCAGGACTTGTATATAGGATGGACTCGAGCCGGGCTCTAGGACAGACTTCCCATAGCTTCTTCAGCAATTAACTTCGTATCAGGATTAACATCCGCTTTCAGCTATCACCTTGACAAGACTACGATTGATCACCGAAGCCTTACCTTACCTTACCATTGACAGACATAGTTTCCTTGAAACCATTCCACGACTACGATTACAGTTACCAGTTCCGCAGCCTCAACTTCTGCAAACATACCTCACTACGACTAGCTGGCCGTAACACTATCCGACCGCGACCTATAATAACCGATTATTATATTAAATCATTATATTTAGTTATACTATAGGCCGGAGCCGGTCAAGATATCCGGCTTTGCCGGAGCTATTATTCTGCCGTTGTATACCGCCGAGTCTAGGTATATCATGCCGTAGCTGTACGCGAACCCCTGTAATTCCTTCTTTTCCTCCCCAGCTTAGAATAGTCAATTCACGGCACCTCTACGTTGAACATGTTGAAGTGCGGAAGTGGAATTGGGCGGGTATGCTCGGACCAGAACGAGCAATCTGGACATATAATAATCTGGGTAAGACCAACTAATGAAAATGCAGGAATCTAGGTGCCTTAGATGAGGGATATTCCTGGCTGCATCTGCAAAGGAGAACACATAAAATAGACAAGAATATGATCACGAGGATCCACGACAGAACAAGCCTAGGGGCCAGCCCCTTACAGTTACTTACCTCTCTTAAGGAATATTGAGTTGGGTGGGAAAAAGAGGAAATTGATTGGCAGTGGAAATTGGTAAGGAGGTATAGACCCCGGTGGCCCCACTTCTACGGACCAGTCAACTGCCCTTACGTGATCTACGGCGCCTCCGGTCGTAAGTAATTGTTTGCCATATTGTACGGGATTAGCAATCATATTTATTCATACGTAGGGTACGTATGGCACTTTAGCGTACTTAATTGTATGGCTACCGTAAGTCTACTGAGAAAAAGTGTTTTGGCGGAGTGCCTCTTGCAGTCTGCCGTAGTTACCGCTCATCAGGAGACAAAGGCCACGAAGCGGTTGGAAGCCGAGATCAGGATCGGATTTAATCTCTTTGCATTTGACTTCACCCAACCCCACGTTCCATGCGTCATCAGAAATGTGGTTGGCCTGTCATGTGTAACATGTACGCAATTTTCTGGTCTCCCTGGCTTGGCTGTGTCATGAACAGCAACATGAGTATCAAAGAAATTTCGCAAACTTGCAGTCAAAGACAGTGCTCACCGCTAAGCGACCATGTGGTGGTACCAGTTCCCTGGCTGGTTCAGTCAAGCGTACGTTGTCTCCGCCCAACTATTCAATCCTTTCTCTACCGCTCTAAGCGTAGAATGAGGTTAAGCTGCGAGCTTTCATTAATTAGTACGCGTAACGAAATATGGCCAGTCTGCGATTTATGCTTGAATGCCAATCAGGTGCAAGCAAGTACGAATGCCTCTACTGGGTGGCCGATTCTAAACTTTATTTCAGAGGCCGGTTGATAATCCCGCTGAGAAGTGATTAAGCTTAATAGGGATCTGGTCTCAGGGGTAAGTCGGGAAGCGAGAACGAAGTTTTCAGAGCTCGAGCTCACTGTAAGAACACCGCTCCTTTCTGAATTGCACAAAGTCCACCAATTCAAGTTACGCTCAGGGCCGTAGAGTTCAATTAGACGCTTAAACGGAGGTGTAAGTCTGGTTTTGTGTCGGGTTCGACAATGTAGCCTCCGTCAAATTTGAGCAATACCTCCGCCAGAGTTTGTACCACTGTTTCAACGTAACGATGCTTGGCATCAAACCATCGCCTGGTCTGCTGTACACGGGCGCTCTAGGTATTGTATTCCTCAATTTGCTAAGCCCAGTAGCGGACTAGTCTGCAACTTATTGCTTTTGGCTACCGGACTTTATTAGATGTGCGAGGACCGCTACATAAAAGTGTTGGCAGATGCGACTACGTATCATCTAGGCTATCTTGGCATTTGTCACGAAAGAGGTATAGAAGTGGATATCTCAGGGGTAGAGATAAGGGGTAGACAGGGGTATGGACATACAAAAGGGGCTCCCTCGAGGGCTTCCTCCTTTTACTTTTTCTATATATTAAATAGACTATAGTTGAGATCTCGATTTTTATAAGCTACTCAATATGCTGATTCGTGACAGCATTCCACTTCCCAGTAAAGCCCACCTCCCACCCTCCGCTGCTGGGGATTTCCACCCATACGCTGTTCCGAGCACTCGGGCTCGTAATCGTACGTAACTTGGGTGCAGATATTTGTAGGTGTTAAAGTGAAACTCTGGTTGGAAGTCTCCAAACCTCGGACTTTGCAGACCAAGTTCAGTACTTGTTGTTCTCATGGTAACGTTGATGGTGGGCTCACCACGATCACCAGTCATTGAGGCCATGATTTGCCAATGGCTCTCGGGACGGCGACCCATCGACTCTGGCGCGTCAGACCAAGATCTCAACTTCGCAGCCATTCAGGGGCGATGGTTCTCTTTCCATCAGGCGAAGATCCGAGGTTCGTCCCATCTATTAAACTTCCGCTGTAGTGGGGTAGCATTACGGATTGCTCCGTGGCGTGCTAGCTCTAAGGAGCGCTATCGTCCGCAGCGTTTCATTTAGAGAGGGAACAACTGACTCGAAAGCGTACCGTAGCACTGTAGACAGAAATCTTCGGCGCTTTCGGGCCTCTAAGTCTAGGGATAGGAGATGTTGGAACAGGCTGAAGAGTCTGCATACAAGATGTATATAACCAACGGAGGATCGTCGTCCGTAGAGAGAGGAAGGTCTGATTGTCTCCGCAACTATCTTCTTCTTCTTCTTGTTCCAAGGTGCTAGCACTGTTTCCATTCTTTCATCGAGGATTCCTCGACTACATTCATTACACCACCAAAAGCCCAGGCTTACAATCACGATGTGGCAAGGATCACATTTGACTTTCATCCTCGCCGCCGTGGGTTTCTTCGCCCCGGGAGCTCAGGCCGTCGATACCCTCGTCGATGTTCGATACGCTCAGTTCCAGGGCGCCGTGACCGACGCGGAGCTCGGCGTGACAACCTGGAAGGGAATCCAGTTTGCTGCTCCCCCGGTGGGCGACCTCCGCTTTGCCGCGCCGGCCGACCCGGTCCAGTCCGGACTTGTCAACGCCACCGCCCACGGCCCCATTTGCCCTCCCCAGCAGCCCACCGACTGGACCGTTTCCAGCCCCAACTCGCAGTTCACCGTTGATGAGGACTGCCTCTACCTTAGTGTCACAGCCCCGTCGGATGCGCAGACCGACTCCAGACTGCCCGTCGTCTTCTTCCTTCAGGGTGGTGGATTCGGGTCCAACTCAAATGCAAACTGGGATGCCAGCGAGATCGCTTCGGATGGAAATGTTATTGTTGTTCAGATGAACTACAGAGTTGGCATGTACGGCTTCCTACAGGGTGAGGAGGTCCGGGCTAGCGGCGGTCTCAACGCCGGAGTCAAGGATATGGTGAAGGCTCTTGAGTGGGTTCAGACCAACATCGGCCACTTTGGCGGAAACCCCGAGCAGGTTGTTCTCGACGGTGTCAGTGCCGGCGGTTCAGCTGTCGGTCTTCTCATGACTGCTGATCTCGGCAGCAAGCAGCTCTATGCCGGAGGTATCGCGGAGTCTGGCGGCTGGGTCACGATGCGCACCATGGAGCAGGGACAGGGCCAGTATGACTGCCTCGTTAAAGAGAAGAACTGCACCGATGCAACTGACTCTCTTACCTGCCTTCGCGCCTTGAACCAGTCTGAGGTCCGTTCTTCTAGCTGCTGGTTCAACCCTGGTATCGATGGCGAGCTCTTCACCGACAGCATGGTCAACCTCTTCAAGCAGGGCAAGTACAACAAGGTCCCCACCATCTGGGGTTCTTGCGCTCAGGAGGGAACCATGTACTCTGCTCCTCAGTCTACCAACTCTACGGAGGAAGCCAACACTTGGCTCCTTGGACAAGACCCCTCGCTGTCAAACGCCTCCCTCGCCATCCTCGATGATCTTTACATCAACACTCCCCGCACCGTCTACCCTGACTCCGGAATCAAGTGGAGACAGACCGCCGATGCCATCGGTGACATTGGCACCCACTGCATCATCCGCAACATCCAGAACTACCTTGCCCGCGACGAAGCCATCACCTACAACTATAAGTTCGCAGTCCAGGATCCCAAGAACGAGGCCGAGGGCTTCGGCGCGTACCACACTGTGAACACCTACGCCTTCTGGGGCAACAACAGGACCGATGGCCAAGCGCCCGAGTCCTACTTCACCATCAACAAGCCCATCATCTCGCAGTTCCGCAAGTACTGGGTCTCGTTCATTCGCAACCTGGACCCCAACACCGACCGCGAGAAGGGCGCTGCCGAGTGGAGACCTTTCACCGGCCCTGAAGGCCGCGAGCGTCTGTTCGTGCAGACGAACAACACCCACATGGAGAGGATGAGCACTGCTCAGAACCTGCGTTGCGATGTTGTTAGACCTTCGTCGGAGAACTTGGGCAAGCCCGTTGACAAGGGCGTTGTCACTGAGCTGGATGCTACCCTGGCGGCTAGTATCAACAGCACTACTGAGGACACCAAGTTCAGGAAGAGACACGTTAGACAATTCTCCAGATATTACTAGGCGTCTCCTATGATCCTACCATATTTAGCCAATACCATTCCCCCGCTGAAGAACACTTGCCAGCAAGCATATCTACCAGCTTACCGCACACCTTTATATTCCAGGTTTACCACATGCTGACTGCAAGGCTTTACGTGACCTGTTGTGCTCATATCACGCCCTATTAATCTTCTTTCGGCAACTCCCAAGACACATATCTACTGAATAGTTCTTGAAGGTCTAGAAGCTGTCCTATGCTGCGAACGTTACTTGCGTTGGCTGGCTCGGAGTTCCGAATCAAAGGCTCCACTTGTTCTCCGGCCGGTGCCGGCAGCGGTAGTCATGACACAGGTAAGTATTGTTGTTGTTGTTGTATTTTAACGCCGTAGCGGCAAGGGCGCAGCCGCCCTTGCGGCAGACCTCCCGAAGGGTATATGGCGTGGAGGGCCGTAGGCCTATAGCTATCACTAGATACAGTCCAGCTCGTCCTCCAAATCGTGCCCAAAGGCAACTATGTGTTTAACCTGTCTCTGGGTGCCGCTGGCTTGCCCGAGACAGTGCTATGGTCGTCCCTAGAACGCAATTCCGCCAGTATCTCCTATCCTTCGACCCAGAGCCCGTAGGCTTCTGGTTTACACAACGTTCTAGTAACCGTCCGGAGTATATCGTAATAGGTAATACCGCCATAAGGGAAACCATAAGGGGAAAACCTCGTAAGATTATGTTGTAGGGCTTGCTGTTAGGTTCTGTAACGAGTATAGCTGTATATAGCCGTGGCTATACATCGCTACCTAATGGTCGTTTCGTCTCTTCGAGGGAGTCTTCGATCGTTTAAGGGGCAAAGGTGCTGAGAGAGCGAAGTCGAAAAGTCGGTCGGTGATGTTCAATTTTGGGCCCGGAAGCGCCACTTGCGCCGGGAAAGAAAGTCGCCCGTCTCCTTCGGGAGGCTAGATGGAACCTCTGCTCCCTGCCCTACCAGAAAGACTTCGTCTAGCCTGCGGAAGGCGAATTCGAGTCGACGGCGGCTCGTTAGGTTGAATAATCGTCGGCTCGATTCGAGGGGAAAATGTGCGTTGTTAAGGATTTGATTAGCGTATAGCTAATCCACCCCGGCGCGCAGCGGCAAACCGCGGGGACTGGGGCCCCTCCTTAGCATGGCACTAACAGCCCGTGCCAAGCTGGAGAGATGTTTCGTGGAGGTTGACACAGGTAAGTAGTCATCCGATGGAATTCATCAGTTCATTCATGTTTATTTATTTACGTTCAACTCATAAATCAGTACTCAGGTAACGCAGATACAGCTGTAGATCTTAGAGTACAGCTGCCATTTCCTATACTGCACTGTCATTCCACTCCATTTAGGGATTTAGCATCTCCCTGTGAAGTTGTCAGCAATTCACTCGATAACCTACTTAGTCAATGCACGGCAACACAACACTTACAAGAGCTGATCTGGTTGTCATAGTCTCCCGAGTAGCCCTGGTCATCTGCCACGCCGAGGTTGTAGTTGTAGCCGAGCGAAACACCGCGGTCGTCACCCTTGTTGTCGCAGTTGCTATTTGTATGTCAGTTTGAGAAACTGAGAGAATGACCATGCGAGAACACTAACATGAACTTGTAGAACTGGCAAAGTCCCCCTGTGTTTGAGCTCAAAGAGGTAGTCTGATTCTCATACTTGTCAAGGAAAGCCTGAGTCTTGTTGAAGCTAGAGTAGTTGACTAGATAGGATAATACATCAGCAACTTGACCTTCAGTAAGTGACGTCATCATGTGATGAGGCTTACCGCATCGTCCGGGAGGAGCGCCCCAGGAGAGGCACTCGCCAAGGAATCCGGCCTCGGAGCATTGAAGAAGGAAAATGTTGTCGGGAATGACGGGCGGCCTGTTGGGGTCGGGGTTTCCATCTCCGGGGACCTCCTGTCGCTTCTCAGTGGTCGCCACGAGGTTGATGAGGTTCGACTTCTGGAAAGCAGCGAATGCCTCGGGGTGCTTCTCTTGGACACTCTTGGCAACGGCAATGATGTTGGTGTTCTCTTGGATCTCGGGCAGAGCGGCGGCTTGCTGGAAAGCCCAAGATGCCAGCACAACCGACGTGAGAGACGTGAACTGCATGATGACTGTGTTGTATATAACGAACGCCGGGTATGTTTGTATGTATGTACTCGTGATATCGCGACTGAAGCAACTCAAGTTCAAGGTAGCGCGAGAAGGATAACAATTGAACGCGGAGGAGGAAACCGTCTGTTTGAACAAGTTCGGGGGCTTTTCATTTCATTTACATTGTTTTCAAAAAGCCCGTCTGCCAAGTGCCCACCCCGCTTATAAGAAACCACGCCGGTTAAGGTTCACGACTTGGTTACGAGGGTCGCCCATGTGCGAGTCATCATCGGAAGCGAAATAGTGTCCACTCGATCCAGGGCGAGAGAAACGTTGATGAAATCAGTCAGACCGTCAATTGGCCCGGCCCCATCTCCTGGAGTTGCATCAACAAACCTAATTGTTCCGTTTTGCCAGAATAGCCTCGCTGTTCCCGTGATGTTTTTCAGGGAGCCACGATCGACAAAGTCCCTGAAGCAATATCGAGAAGCATGGAAATCGTGACCTTGGCGCTATATCCGGTTCATCCGGAATATTATGCTCTGCAGGTTCACAGAACTCAACTTGCCCAGCCACCATATCAGCGATATTTACCTCCCTGAAGAGGTAATGAGTCAATATAATAGACTCTTTGGAACGGCAACGCCAAGATGTCGATTGGTTCCGCACACATGGATATTCACGAGAACCTATACGGCGAAAAGGCACAAAGAAGCTCCCGAGATGAGGTCGAATGCTTGAAGTCTCTGTTCCCCAATACGAGGAGAATATCTCCCCCGCTTCGGTAATAGGAAACCAACTCAAAAGCAGTATCCGTAGGCGACGCCCAAAACGCTCGATGCTGTGGCAGGATTGGGCCTGTTGAATCGTCGCCTCGAGTCGGCGGTGCTTGCATCCCGAAACCAGCATATTCAGGGAACGATTGATCTATCGGATGTCATAGGAATGAGTTCATCGCTTCTTCTGCCGTTCGACACTTTGCATCTTTGAGAAGCCATTTCTTGTATGTTTGTAACCATGCAGCCACTTTGCTGTCTCCACCGCTCAGGGGGAACGTCCTATGCTTCCGGCTACCTCGTTTCTCATTGATATAATTGAAGCCAAAGACTCGTGAAGGTAGCCGAAGGACTCAAAATCTCTATAATGAAGGTGGTGCCAACTCGACTTCAATTATGCTATCTCGCCGGCTTTGGCAATAACGATGCAGATTCTGGAGCCGGATGTAATGAATGTTCAAATTTGGAATGCCATTTAGCTACCTACATGTAGGTACTGTGCAAACAAACGCCTTTACAATGCACGAGACTATTCAGGTGTGTTGCGGAACTTTTGTTTTCATTCTCGATCGAAGTAAAAGAAAAAAAGAAAAAGCGACAAGGCGTCTGAGATGATGGCAGAAGCTCCAAGACTGCGCCGTTCCTGCGGTTATTTATATGCTATGTTCTCCGTCCTTCACGACTACTTACCTTATTCATGTGATTTGTCCATGAAAATAATAACGATAAGTGTTGGTATACACGTCAGCAGGGCAACCGTACGGTTGGAACGAAGTGTCAATAATGGTCTATTATTGCTGCGTATGGAGGTGGAGGGAGGAGGTTGTGGGCAGAGCCCACGATTCCTCAGAAGTGGTATTATGTAAGTGAAAGGGCCGTTTGTAAGTGCCCATACCGCCTTCCAGATCCACCCTTTCTGCTGACTGCTCAGAGATCCAACAATAAGTGTTTCTATTTGATCAAAGATACCTAGTCCTTCTGTATATAAAGCCTTTTCCCCTCTTGTGGTTTGAGCCACCGCCATAACTAAGTAGGCAATCCCCGCCACTGCTCAGTTCATGCAGCCAGTTGGGGTCTTCGACATTCCCATCCCGACTGGACGACGCTATGCCGAACATCAACGTAGAAGCGAGTCCTTTAATAATATCTCGAACTTGGAGTCGTTATCGCTCCGAGTTGAATGAACTGAGCCACAGCAAATGGGTGTCGCACTGTCGGAATGGCAATTAATACCAGCACCATGGGAGAGCGTCACTGGGTGTAATGCTGTTATGAGGGGCTGCGTTCGGTCTCGGAAGCCCGGATCGTTTTCTGGGCTAAGCACCTTTGCTAGATTCGAATAACTTGCAAAAGTACCGATGGTCGGAACATCATGCGCCTACTTTGAGAGTGCAGGCAAATAAAGGACAAGTGAAATCTGCAACCGTTGACATCCAATCGGCATACGCACCAACCAACGGCTCCAGACCAGAAACGAGACAGAAGAAATTGTGGTAAGTGATTGGTCGCTGAGCCTTCTTCTCTATGTTCTAGAAGCCAACACCTGCATGTTTCAGCCGCGGACAAGTTTCTTCTTGTTTCTCGCGAAACCTATCGGAGCCCGTTTCGCGTAGACGTTGAGCGGCTTTGCAGTGCCGGCATCAGAAGAAAAGAGGCAACGAATCTATTTGAGAATTGGAGAATTACAGATAACCGTCCGTTCAGCTCAACGGTCTCCCATGTCTCTGGTATGGAGGCTTGCTGGGCCGTTTTGCCATAGAAATGCTCTCTTTGCTTTTCCCTCCCTGTATGACACGGCAGAAAATAGCCGAGAAGATCAAAAGCGAGAATCAAGTTTAGTGATGTTGATGATCATCGTGCCAGGCTAGAAATCCAGGTCCAGACTTTTCAACAAGATGGACTCGATGACAGGGGAGTCAAGGACATGCGTTGAGACCATGATACGTACATCTTAATAGAGCTCTGTTTACCTTATGCAGAGCGCGAATAGCAAATATTTAGGATTTAAGACACATTAGTGCTGGTACAAGCACTAGACAAACTGCCATGCTTACATGTAAAGATAGACAAGACCGGATACTAGTCTATGCCCCGGCACCGAGGATCTACAGTCCTCCGCACGGAAGCTCCTCCGCGTGCTCCGGAATCCACTCCGGGATCCTTCTTAATTCTCCGTGACGCGATTCCAAGTCAGGTCTGGTCGCAGATGGAGCTCGACCCCCACCGAGAGTTTCCCCCTTGCAGCTCTTCTGTGGCAGAGCACCGATGCCCCCAAACTTGAAATAAGCAACAAAGCCCGGCCACCTCGTGGTCCCGAATGCCCCATACGTGCTCTCAAGCTGCTCCCAACAACAAAAGGACCCGAGATCACTCCAACTCAAAGCTTCCAAGACTTTTGCTTCTCCCGTGCTCTTCCAACTCTTAAGCTCCCAGATCGGCGCTGAGATCGTCCGAGGATGCGGTCCATGCGCCGAGACAGCAGCGACAGAACCTTGCGGGACTGTGCGGCTGCATGTCCCTTGAAACCAAACACCGCCCATCAGCTGTCACGCCAGCGGGTGTGAGCAAAGCGCCCCAAGCTCTTGAGCTCATCTTTTGGTGTCTCGATAGGTGTTTCGCGGGCATAGCCAAGATACGTCCGTCCAGTATGCCTGGACCGCGACACCATGGTGCTGGGCCGCTTGCCGGCTTCCCTTTTCTTTGAGCTTCCCCGTCGTCAGTTCGTTCAGACATTGGGATTTCTCCAGAATTTTATCCAACTAAAATTTACCGCATTGTTAACAGGAAGCTTGTCTCTACAGTGACGAGTGTATCCTCATCCAACATGGCCACCGCCAACGATTCGCTTTCCAACCAGTCCTCCTGGGGGCCCCTCGAGACACTGCAGGCATTCCCAAGTCCATTGGAGAAGCCAGTACCATACTTCATCACAGCTTTCCTGCTTTTTGTCTTCTACTTTTCCATACAACAAGCAGAGCAAACGCCGCACACAGATCTGCCTATCGTCAACCCTCGGCACAAGTGGGATTTTACTGGATTGAAAGTCAAGTATGACTTCATTACCAAGGTCCGGAATATTGTGTTGGATAGGACGAAGACGAACCCAGATGAGCCCTACCAGGTCTTGACGGACATGGGAGACATGACAATCCTTCCTGCGGTACCCTTCGCCAACGAGATCCGCAACCACGAGGACCTCAGCTTCGACCGCGTTCTTGACAAGGCAAGTACTCGCGCCCGCCAAGCTTTGAGGCTTCATACTGATTGTGGCGCAGAATTTTCACGCCCAAATGCCCGGCTTCGAGCCTCTGAAGGAGAACAACGCGCAAAAGGCTGTTCTCAAATACGTTATCCGAACAAGATTGACCCAGTTCCTTTGTACGTCCGGATACTACTCCGCCCCTGCGACCTGAGCTAACAACCTTGTAGCAAAGCTGACATCTCCCGTTTCCGACGAGGCGACGCTGTCACTGACTGATGTTTTGGGAGAGGAGAAGGGTAACGTCTCCAGTCCAGCACCACCAGGAGAACCTGCTAACAGAACACAGAATGGTCAACCGTGGTAATCAAGGAGAACATGCTCAAGGTTGTAGCCCGAGTATCCACGCGCGTCTTTGGCGGCGAGGAACTTTGCCGTAACCAGGAATGGATCAAGATCACCTCCGAGTACGCCCGAACCAGCTTCCTCGCCTCAGAGTTCCTCCGAATGTTGCCCAAGTCTCTGCGTAACTTTGCCCACCAAGTCCTCCCTATCAGCCGTCAGCTTCAAGCGCAGGTCAAGGAGGCCAGAGAGATCATCAACCCCATCATGGAGGAGCGCCGCAAAGAGAAGAAGGCAGCTTTAGATCGCGGCGAGGAGGAGCCTGAGTGGAACGACTGTCTCGATTGGTGTGAGGAAGCCTCCGACGACGCCAAGTCGGACCCTGCGATGATGCAGCTTGGACTTTCTTTCGCCGCTCTGCACACCACGTCCGATTTGATCACGCAGGTGATGCTTGACCTTGCCAAGTACCCCGACTACTTCGAGCCCCTTCGCAAGGAGATCACCGACGTTATCCGCACCGACGGATGGGCTCGCATGGGTCTCTACAAGATGCGCCTTCTCGACTCCTTCTGCAAAGAGACTCAACGTCTTCACCCCATCGGCATTGGTAAGTGCCTGTCCACCTTCTCGGGTAGCTATCGCTAACATCAATCTTCACTAGTTGCCATGCACCGCGAAGCCACCAAGCCAGTGACCCTCTCCAACGGACTGGAACTCCCCGAGGGCAGCCGCATCGCTGTCAGCTGTCAAAGAATGACCGATGGCTCCGTCTACTTGGACCCCAGCCGCTTTGACGGATACCGTTACCTGCGCATGCGCGAGTCCCTTGGCGCCGGAAACGATGGAGCCGCGCACTTTGTCAGCACCTCGCCAGAGCACCTTGGCTTCGGACACGGCCAGCACGCCTGCCCTGGACGTTTCTTTGCCGCCAACGAGGTCAAGATTATTCTCTGCCACCTCCTTCTCAAGTACGACTGGAGACTGGCAGCGGAGCAGCAGCCCAACACGATCAACTTTGGATTCACGATGGAAGTTGACCCCAAGGCCAAGCTCGAGATCCGGCGGAGGACCGGCGACTTGGGCCTCAAGGCATGAAGGAGTTCCGTGCGCGACGGTAGGGTACATCAACATCCTCGGGCAAACTTGCATGTGTGATTTATCTCTGGTTGGGCATGCATTTTGTTGGGTTTCACTGGGCTCATGTAATCGAGGTCGGACGATGGTCATAGCAATGAGCCAAACAGATTGGATTAGCTAGGCGTTGAATGCATTGTTTTCGAACCAGAATATCATCCTTTGCAACTGTTTCTTCGCAACATGTTTGATACACTTGTCGACTTCATTCATGAGAATTTACCGCTTTCTCAACGACCTCATACACCATTGCTCATACTCAAGTTTCAACATCGAGCAACCACCCAGGAAACACGATCGAATCAACTTGCAACGTGGTATCGTCTGATTCCTTGTGGAAACATCATCTCACCTCCGGCTTGCTTCTCGGATTCGCGCAAGGATTCGTCCTGTCTACGGCCCGTAAGCAAGTCTTTCGCCACGTTGCGCCGACGGGTTCCCTGTTCCGTTAGTTGGGCCACTCAAATACTCCGAAATTCAACACAGTTTACTAGCTTTTGTCCTTCGTCTGAAGCCATGAATGGTAATTTTGTCAGTGCAATTGTATTTTCGCACACTTTGGATGATCGTGTTGCCTCGGTAGACGATGAGCGTCTAGCCGTTGACGCAAAACGTGGATAACGGCAATTCTTTTCTCGTCAACAGCCATCTTTCTCTGGTTCTAGATCGTCTGAGCACCGTGCCTCTTCCATGATTCTAGGTTTTGGGAAGTATGGCCGAGGGAATCATGGCACGAAACACCGACATAGCACCTTCAACTCCCTTGAGGGCCAGTTTCAACGACGCTTGACCTTATTCTTCTCCTGAGATGTAGGGAAATTTTCGCCAGTTGAGAGGTAGCTGCAGAGTTCCCTGGTCCGCAACACGCGTTGCCTTGCTGGTCTGCGGTCATCAAACGACCACTCCGTGTTGTAAAGGTGAGCCATCCACGCCTGTACAACAAATAACCTTATTTCATCCTTGAACCGTCTGATAGTGGGCCGCTTGGCAACAGCTCTCCTGCAAATTGCTCCGCTAGAAGGCCAGTTCTGTATGACGATGAGTACCTCTCAAGCCTTCATCAGGCTCATCAAGAAAGGCGTGGGTGAGTTGAGCAATGACTTATCAAAGATATGATCGGGGCCAACCATGTCCAAGAGTAAGGAGCGTGTTCAATAGAGTCAATATCAAGAAGCCAAACTCAGTAATCCACGTTGAACATTTTAGATCGCACTATGATCAGAAGACCCAATCCCAGAACCTAATTCATAAGACCTCTGAGCGATTCCATCTGTTTCAACTCTTCAAGCAGGTCTGTGAAGTCTTTGACTCCATGCTTTTCGCTCATCTCCTTGAAATACGGTAATTGCTGCTTGAGCCACGCCTCCTCGTGGCCAGCGTCGGGAATAGCCATCCCGCCCTCTCTGATCGCCAACATTGGCGTAAACACAACCATTAAAAGCCGTTTGGCCTCATCAAACTCGGCTTCTTTGCCAGGCTCTTTGACAGCCCCGTTCCAGGCGTTTTCTATCTTGGCCGCCAGTGCATCAAAGTCATCTTTCTTGCGAGAAGCCGAGGTTCGGACTAGTGCAACAATGCGATTTGAGTTGCTGGTGTGCGACTTTCCCGCCATGAAGTAGGTTCCATCATCGGGCTTTTCCTCTTGTTTGATGAAGTTGACATGGACGAAAAAGGCCGATGTGCTGAACGTGCTGCAGTGAAGATTGGTAATTGACAAGGCGATGGATTCCCGTTGCGTCTTGGTGAGAGGATATGTATGATGAATCTGATAGAAAGGCATTGTGTAAAGTGGACACAGGAAGCCGGCCGGGAAATGTAGTGCTGTATTGATGTGTATTGATGCTACGGTGCTAAGAAGTGCCAAAGAGAACTCAGCACAGGATCAAATCAAGGGATGTCAGAGTTTCTTCGCAAGGGTTCTTCAAGGTAGCGATGTAGTAGATGGAGGGTTAACTGGTATTTATCATTAGTTATTATTATGATGCCAGACTACAAGTAATTATCCTGGCTCGAACTAGATCAGTAATCTGATTACACTTGATAAGGGGTCTTGGGCGTCGAAGGGCGTATATCGACGTCATAACCATGTACTTTGCGGGGTAAAACGGCCTAGGCCGCTCTACAGCTCCATGTAGATCCCGCCGGTCCGATCCCGACCATGCCGGCCGGTGGGAGACTAGCATGAGACCGATACTCAAGGGTACAGCCGGCGACCCGCAGCTACCGGGCGAAGAATACCCTCTTTCTCAAGATCACTGACTAGATTGGCGAGATGATGATCGCATCCCCTCGCCATTCTCAGAGCCATAGTCACAGGGAGATATTCCGTATGCAACGACTTGGTGCTGTTGTAGGGGACTTCTCCGATGGGAACCACTACTTCCGGGGCGCCGGCCATGACCGGGACGGAAGAGTCGTCAAAGCCCAGCGGCGGTGTGGTCCGGGCCTGGAGGTAGACATCGCGATAGGAGGGCTGGCCCACAGACCAGGGGTAGATGTAGAGCCCCTCGGAGCAAGACTCGGGATTATGTCGTCCGTAACCCTCGGTCTCGTACCAGGATCTAAAGAGGGAAATGTTGCGGAGGCCTTCAGCATAGACTTCTTCCGTCGAATGAATCTGACCCCATTGCCATCTAGCGAGGGGCCCTGGGTTGATGTATGGTTGACGTCCGTCAAACTTGGCTGCATAGTCCTCGAAAAATGGCTTGCCGAGTTCGTTCCACTGATCATGAGAGACGTAAACGCCATAGGTGAGGTATAGCATCTCGTTAACATCGGCTGGTGCTTCTCCGTGCGTCTCGCCCCAGAGCTGCGTGTAGTTTGCAGGAGTTGAGTTAGCCTGCAGAAAGCCTTCCAACTTTCCTACGAAGCTCGCGATAACACTGGTGGCCTCCTCGCTAACGTTGCCCCCAGACCAAGCGCCGCCTCTAGCCGTTGATTGGTAGAGTGTCGTCGGGTAGGAAGTGTAGTTGGAAGCAAACTCAGGATACCAAGCCTGTGTGACCTTGGCCCAGAGACTGCCACTGCGAGCGAACATTCCGGCGGTATCTGAAACGGGACTCAGTGGAATAACATGTTCGAGGGAGATGGCGCCCGTGGAAGGCCGGTTTCCGAAGAGGCCTTGGGATCCTGCCGGACCACGCATGGAACCACCGGTGTCGCTGCCGACAGCAAGATCAAGCCAGTCGTACGCCCCGACTCCAGCACCGGGACCAGTAGACGAGCCACTGGGGTCTTGGTACCCGTCGCCTCGGGGGTTGAAAGGGGCGTGGAGGTCAACCCAGTCGGCGGTAGGACGATCGCCGTTGGCAAACTGCACAGTACCCATCTTACCAACGAGAACAGCGCCAAGGTCGATGAGTCGTTGCACAGCCGGTCCAGTGTTGTTCTGGCGCCCATACAAGTAGAAGTAGGCCCGATTTCCGCCGCTCGTGCCTACTCCCTTGACGTGGAAAATGTCCTTGACTCCGAAGCGGAGACCGGCGAGAGGCTGCTCTTCTGTTTTGGTGTAGTAGAGTCGTGACGGAACTGCAATACTCTTTGCCATAACATTCTCAGTAACGGCAGGGAGGGTAGTGAAAGCACCCTTTTCATCGCTAATCACGCCTTGTACAAAAGCGAGATGGTCATCGTAGTATAGCCGGTAGGCCTTGTAGATGTTTCCGGTGTGAACCGAGACGAAGTAGGGGCCTCGAGGGAGACTCAAGTCAGTTACACCACTCGCGATGTTGCTTGCAAGGCCATCGATCTTCTGCGACGACAGAACCAAAGAGGTGCCCTGTCGTGATAGTTGAGACTCGAGAGATGTAGTGCGGTTGTAAACAACAGTAGCATTAGATGTACTTGGGCGGAGATAGATCGTTTGTAGAAAGGCAGGTTGGAAGACATCGTCCGTGCTATCATAGGTGGCCGTGATGTTCAGAAGCTCGTCTCCTGAAAGGATGCTGCGCGAGGTCTCGATAATGGTGAGTGGAACCAGGTCTTGGCCAGGAGTTTGGGCAGTTGCGAGCACCGAGAAACCAGAGCCGTTTGTTCCTACTTGGCCCACAGCGATCCCGCCGGCATAGTAAGAAACACCATTGAGACTAAGAACTTGGCCCTGGTTGACGAAGTTGGCACTGACTAGGCGGAAAGAAGCCAAAATAAAGGCCAAAGATCGCATCTCATGAGAGGCACAGCTGTTAGCTGGTAAGGATTGCTGGGGAACTTTGGTGCCGTAGCTCTGGCACTGACTCTTCTGCCGGATACATCGCTGCCTACTTAAGTAACAGCCTTACATGCGAGCAGCATCAGTCAGACTCTCTCGAAGGATTCAATCTCCTGTTTTCTGTGTGTCACCGACATGATGACTATCAACAACGTCAAGATGATAACCGACATCGATAAGACGCAGGCAAGGTTCGAAGTTCCTTATCAAAACTTGGAGAAGTCGGCTTTGGAGAAAAGCGTCTTCTAGTGCCGAAAGCGGCCCCAACCTCTCCACATAGTCGGGTCCGAATCCCTGACTTTGGACGGAGGTAATGGTCTTTATTTCCACGCAGAGTGACGTTCTGGCTGTCGGCCAAGAACGAAATTTTGCCGACTGTCAGCAAATCACATTGGCGCATCTCCGCCACTGTCATCCGTGTTGTGCAATTGGTCGTACAAGTATCGGGGTAAACCCCAACCTCCACGATGCTTTTCAACCTATCCCATCGAGTGCTGCTTGACGCCATTTTTGCCAAGGGCGGGGTAGAGCCAATCAGGGGTTATGAATCTATTAAGTTAACCAATAGGGTTATAACACCTAAATGGCCTATATATTTTGCGTATACTAGAGGTACTAATAATCCCCTTAAATACATAAGGGTACGTTACAGTCTAAGCAGCCCTTCCCCGTGTATCTACGCGGTTATGTGACGCTATTCCAAGATATTTTACCTAGCGTCTAGCGGGCCCTTAATACCTTTGTATTACTGCAATAAGAACAAGGGGAATTAACCTTCCGTGACCCTTTATATGGTGTTCCCATGGGATGGAGGTATTCCTTTTATCTACAGCCTGTCTAGGCCGTGACCTCTGCCGCCCTTGTGCTAATGGTCCAAACTACTAGATAAGCTATGCTACAAGCAGTTACTGCTAGCGGTAGTAGGTCTTTACCTTCTACCACCTAGGGCTGCCCCAGAGCTATAGTAAAAAGGTATTCATAACTACCACTTCTAGCAGAAAGTTCTAAGTAATTGACTACTAACCTCCTTGTTAAATAGGGTAGCTATATTAATAATAGGACCTCATCTAGTTACTCATATCAACCCTATTCATCTTATAATCATACTCATCGATTGCCCTAGGCACTAGAAGGTCCTTACGGACGTCTAGGCCAAATAGTTGCCGGGCAGCCTTTTTAGTAGCAGTATCCCCCGCTAGGCGGCGGCGGTTACGAATAACTTCCTGGCTATTCTAAAAGACAGTTAACAAGAAGAGTACGAGGGCATTATCCTTCCAGGTAAATTAGTTAACCTAGTTCCTAGTTAGCTAGGCTGAGCAGGGCTGGGCGGGCTAGCAGCTTACCTCCCTATCAAAAGTAAGGATATAATATATTTCGCCCCAGAGGATACCCCGTCCTTCAGTCTCTTTCTCAGCAACTAAGATCTTATCTATCCCACTATTCTTCCGGCAGTTACCAGAAGCTCTAATCTGTTAATTCCTCAGGGTACGAAAAAGACGTATAAAGGCGAAGAGGTTGTCAAGGAATACGTAGTAGGTTGCAGCTAGAAGTAGGGAAATAAGGGTAGTTACTACCTGCTACGATAGTGTCAACAGAGCCAGCTTTCCAGCAGCTAGCCCAGCAGGCCTAGCCAACCGGCCTAGGCTGGGCTGGGCAGGCTAGGCCTGGGGGACTAATGCGTATGGGCCCTTTCCATGTACGTGCCACAGCCACCATATACAGTAGCCAGACTGGGCAAGGATCCAGATCTTATAGCCAGTTAGGATAGGTTTCGTTAGAATCGTTATTGTCTCAAGAGATCGACCTGTAAATCGGACCATAGCCTCGTCGACTGTAAGGTCTGAACCAGGTATATAAAGAGAGTCCCCAGTCTCTTGGATGTGGGCTGACCACTGGTTAACCTTCCGGTATACATCTGGCATTTGATCTTGGCCCCGGCCCCGGCCCTGGCTGGGCTGGCTAGGCTGGGCTGGCTGGCTGGGCCGGAATTCAGCAGTATTAAATATCCGTAGTCGCTAGAGTAGTAGTTGAAAACGGTCCCGGGATATGAATCGCGTAAATAGATAGATAGGATCCTCCCTCTCCTACTCGATTAACTAGTAAGTTAATAATTTAGATTTCCTATAGATCCCTATATATAATAGGATCCTTGAAAAGAGGTAGATATCGTCGGTTAAAGTCTTCTTTTACTTATTTACTCTAGAAGTTCTAGCCCTAGGGCCCTCTTTAAATAAGAGAGCTATATTCATTTGCTATACCTACTGCTCTATAAGGCTCTATAGAATATATTAGAGGAATAGTTCAAGCGGGCTTACCGGTAGCCCTTATACCTCTTGGGCCCGGGCCGGTATATTAAAGGGCCAGAAGGAGCCCGGAAGACTATACTTAGTAACTAGAGGTTCATAGGGCCGGACTATCGCTACGTTATAGCGCTCGGGCGTATTATTTATCTTTGTTACGAGCAGGATAAGGCAACCAACTGTGGCACAAAGAAAAAGCTTCGATAATGATGACTCCGGCATCATTGTCCCTTGTTCTGCATTATATAGCTACGCGCCCACAGTGACAAGTTGCGGCGGGCGTAACAATATTATAGGTAGTAGTAAGGTCTTCTAGAAGGACCTTAACTATTATGTAGCTATATATAAAAGTAATAAAAAGATTAAATATAATAAAGGTATTAGAATCACTAAAAGACATTACAGAATTAATTAAATTAGAAATTATAGTAGTAGTAATAGGTAAAAGAACACAGGGTAAGTGACGTATTGTTAAGTACCCCTTCGAATGCGGGGTAATAATGGGTAAATAGTGGGTATTTGGGGGCTTGGCAAAAATGGCGTCAAGCAGCACTCGATGGGATACGATGTCCTGAGGAATTGGTCAAGATAGGAGGGAAGCGAGACCGATGTTCGGATCAAGACATTAGACCGAGGCTGTCATACACTAACGTATTTGCAGTCGGGCAGGTTCAACATATTCCTGAAATTATTGATCAGTGGGGTTAACCCGAAAGTGCGGGATGCTTACTGGGCCGTAATGGGGATGATCAGATAGCGTGCGATTTCATCAATAACGCCAAAGCATTAGCAATTTGCCTTACACTCCTGATGAAACTACACTGCCAAATTGCGTTCCTCCGCATTATCCGTCACTCCATTTTCGACTTCACAGACCGGTCCAGTCTCAATGGCTGCGCAAGCGCATAGCATCCATCCATCGCCTGTTCGCTAAGTCCGCGTAGCAAGATCTGAAGCGGACCTTGTAATCTTGTAGATCTGATGGTCACAATTCTCATCATGGATATGCTCTTCCACAGGATGGCATTCCGCAATGTTGTGTTTGTGTTTCAGGCAGGGAAGTAGTCGACCACCATGATTGTTCTCTGGGCAATACTTCGGGTCGTTCTTCAATCGCCAGAGAACGGACTCATGAAGAACAGCGTCTTTGGGTATGTCTCGCGTGCTTCCTTTGTTGAGCGGGAAACGGACATTCTCCCATCCATTGTCCTCGAGCTCCCAGCGAGTGATGAAAGGTAACCATTCTGTTGTAACGAGTTAGTATCACAAAGACGCTGAAGAGAGGGCTTTCTCTTACCCATGAGCTTCCACAGAAGAACGCGGAAGAAGCTTGTACCACGGCCATACGCGAGTGAATCATGGATGACGCCCATTGTGGCCTTGTCCTTCTTCTTCGCGAAGCGCTTCTCAAAGACTTCGAGATTGTCGCGCCACTTGAGGGCTGCAACTTCTTCCTTGTTACCAACAAGCTTAACCTCGCGAATCATCCAAGCGAGTGGAACATCACTCAATTGAAGCCGGTCGCAACCCAGAGCCTTGCTGGCTGCTTTCTCCTTCCGCGTCGTCCAAAAGTTCTTGACGCGCTCCCAGAAGGTCATCTCGATGCCATTGTCAAGCTTACTCTCGGCAGAAGCAGGCCAGCCACCGCCGATGTCACCATGGCAGCCCGGAAACCAGACCTCCTTGATGTCTTCGTGGTTGTGGTCTGACTCCTTCATATCTTGAGCGAGGAGAGCTGCCTTGAACTTGACGCGTCGCTCATCGACTGCTACAGCATGGCGTACATGGTGAGCAGTGCCAACGACAGGCACAGGTACGGGTGCAGTCCGCTCCAAGACGGCGACGGAGTTGACACAGTCCCAGATGCCGAGGAAGAAGACCTTGATGTTGGACTCTTCCATCTTTCCGCAGTGCATCGCCTTTTCTTTGCGGCAGAAGGTATCGCTGAAGGCAGCAATCTCGTCTCTAGCAACAGCGTACTTGGCCCCGTGAACTGCCGGGTCCTCATCCTCGCGATGGCCCTCGTGCAAAGGCTCTTCGTCTTCTAGTTCAGGTGGTGGTGTCGGTACGTCTCCATTGGCGGAGGCTTTATTGTTCTTCTTGTGCTTCTTCTCCTTCTTGGACTTCTTAGGGTGTGAGACAATGAAGTCCTCGACCTCGCCAGCCAAGTAGCGCTGGTAGAGACGGTATGCGAAGGGGACCATCTCCTCGTTTCCCTTGCAAAGCAGCCCAACGGTGTGGACCATGCGAGCAAGGAACTTGGCAGTGAAGGCTCCTCGGCTGAAACCAAACATGTAGATCTTGTCACCCTACATCAAACTTTTGTCAGTCGTCAAGCACCTCGCCTTGTCAGGTAGATGGACTAACAGAGTCGTAGTAACGCATCAGGAAACGGTAACCGGCCATGACATGAGCGTCGAAAGTCGTACCAATTCCTTGATCAATGGTCTGCGAGATGGAAGATTTGAATTCACCAAATACCCCCTTGTTGACAGACTCATCATTGATGTCGTACGTGCCAATGCCAGCTAGACGATAACGCGTGTCAGCACATGCAGTGGTAACACTTGAGGACGTAGACCAACTCACTCTGGTAGTAATGGTACTGATCAGGATCATTGCGATCGAGTTTGCTCAGGATCTTGACCACGTTTGTGTCGGAGTTGGAACCGGTGAAGGTGTTACCAGTACCGTCAAAACAAAGAACTAGCTTTCTAGGAGTTCTCTTCTTCTCTGACTCGTGATTGGCATTGCCATTGAGTGTAGAAAAGTCGGCCATACTGACGATGTAGGGGTAAAGATGCAAAGGAATCTCAACTGGTGTAGAATTT